TGTCTCTAAAACTCATCAACGTTCTTTCGAAATGTGGAGAATAGATATCATCTTTAATGGTTAAGACAGTACCATTAAACAACATTATACGGGCATTTCTGTATTATTCAATCAAGTTGGATGAGTCTGAGAGGGTTGTGAGAGGTGCTTTCTTAGGTACGAAGTTAGTAAAATAGTGTCGCTCACGCAATATGGTATGTGTAGTAGCACTATCAGCCATACAACTAACTTCCCCACTAGTCATACCTAGAAAGAAATTAATTGAATTGGTCAGATGCATAAATATAATTCCATTCATTCAATTAATCAATTCGAGAAATAATATCCATAATTCAAAACAAACCAGAACCAAACAAATTATTCCAAAGACTTAGAAAAATTGTCCAAAAATTAAACCATAAACCTACAAAATAAGGGGGGGTTCGGCCACTCCTAGTGGGTTCGGTCACTAGGGGTAAAAATATCCTAAAAACATGTCTAGAAGAATAAAACTTATTTGTCCATAGGAGCTGATGCCTCCTGAAAATATGATATCTCTATGGATTTAGTAGCATCTTCGGGATGTTCCACATTGGCAAAGTTAGACTCACGACAGCAATGATACTTGGCAATGGCCTCGGGGGTAACTCTGCATACGCATGACCAATGATCCTTTGATCCACAATGGTAACACATATCCATTTCAGTGGAAGTCGATCGAACGGTCCTTAGGTGCAAGGGGTTGGTGCTTTTGGGTCAAATTTCCTCCATTGGGTGGGTTTTGGCTCAATTGACCTTGGGCCCGTGGGTGGGCTTGCTACCCATTACCATAGCCACGACGATATTTTCATCATTTGTGGTTGTTAGAATTAGTCGCATGCACTTCAGGCAGAGAGCGTTTGAGCCAGTGGGTCGAGCTTGATGATTTCTCATCAAAAGTTGGTTTTGTTTTTCAGTAAAACAGAGATCAAATCTAAAAATTTTGTGAACTTTTGTGCCCAATATTGTTGCTGCTGGACAATATTGATGGCATGGAAGGGTGAATAGGTATTCTTTAGGAAATCTGCATCTATTAAGTCCATTTTACAGAACTTAAGCAGTGATCAGATTCTACAAACTTCACAGTTGTATTCATTCACGGACTTAAAGTCTTAAAACGTAGATGATGCCAGTCGTGCCTTGCTTCAGGCAAGTAAATGTCTTTCTGGTGATCGAAACGGTCAGCTAGAGTAAGCCAGAGGATGCTTGGGTCATTCTCAGTGAATACTCGGTCTACAATGCATCATGGATATGTCTTCGATTGAAGATCATTACAGTAGCTTTCTGAGCTTCATTGACGAGGGTGGCGTCGGTAGGTGGTGGCTCTAATACCCTTTGTAGTAAGATGGAGCTTCACGTCTTGAACCCACTTCAGGTAGTTTCTTCTAGAGCAGTGAAATCAAGCTTGATCAAGTTCAACGTGTCCCTAAAACGGAGGGTACAATAAAACGTGGTTGGTCATATGGTAATCTATAGACATATATCATAGAACATCCGGGTTCTATAGACATGTATTAGTTTAATTTAAACATGAAAGCTGCATGTTTCATGTGGTAAGTTTTGAATGAAAATTTCATGTTTCAAAGGCACTAAATATGAAACTGCAGGTTCAATTCATTTTATGAACAATTAGTTCATAAATGAGAGGTTCCTGCAAGAACATAGAATGCAATATGCTGATTTAAGTGTAGTAGATTTGAGTTGCTTCGAGAACTCAAGTGTGAGAGCTTTCAGACTACGAAAAGAAGTCAACGGTTCAAAGTACAGAAATAAATTATTGAATCGTTAATGTCCAAAAGTGATATTCAGGTCAATAATTTTGGATTAATTATCAGATTAATGGATTGCGTATCGCTTTTAATTAATTCAATAAATTAGGACCAAACGAGGTTGATCATGGAAGCAAAATAATGACAGACATGTCATATTAGTTTTGGTTGGTGATAAACCAAGTGATAATTAAATTAGAATTAATTGGCATAAACCAAAGTACCCAAAAAAAAAAAAAATTGAAATTTGGGCATGATTTATAACGCGAGGATGCCAAAAATTGGCATTGGGTCGAAAAACAATGTGGCCTAGCCAAAAGTGGGCTGGCTATGATGTGAGGATGGGCCCCATAGCATGGCTGCATGCCTCTGGGCCGTGTGATCTGGGTAAGCCCAGCAACATGTGCTGCTGGTTTGGGCCTAAAACCGAGCACGGGAAGCAAGCCCAGCTTAAGGCTGGCTTGCGGTTTAGTGTGGGAAAGCCCAACCGAGGCTAGGTTTTCGGTTTTTGGGTCGGGGCAGGTCAAGCCCAGTACCAGAAGCTGCTTGGGAGTTGGGCCGAGGGTTGGCAAAGCCCAGCAAGCAACACGTGCTTACTGCAGGTGGGCCAAGGATGCATGACCAGGTCCAGCAACACACGGGTTACTAGTGATGGGCCATGGGTGCGAGGGAAAAGCCCAACAAATGGCTATAGGCCGTGCTGGTAAGTGGGCTGGGGCTGCAGACCCAATCTAAACCAATCCCAAGCCAAGAAGGCCAGGTTGTTCTTGCTCGCGGCAAGCCCAAAAGGCTGCAACCATGAGTTAAATGTCAAAATGACGTCATCCTGGGGTGTGCTCGATGCGGTTGGGCTACAAGCCAGCGTTGTGGTCGCCAATGGTGCCAGCGGCGATATAACGACGAGCCGCAGCCATGCCGCATTAAATTCCCATATTTTTTTTTTACCGACTTTTCTAGGGTTTTAAGAACCCTAAATTGCTTCTAATTTATTTATATGTTTTGACTCACAAATCCACATAGCAAAATAATTGCATAATGCATGAAACATATATATATGAGTAAACTATCGATTTAACCCCTAAACTTTCACCTAGCTTTCGATTTCCCCCCTGAACTTTTCTATTGGAAAATTAAGGACTCAAACTAATTTGTGTAGCCAATTTGCCCCCTACCATTAGTTTTTCATATATTCCATCCATATTTCTGTTAAGTGAGACCAGATGCACAACATGTGAGGGTAGTTAAGTCATTTCACTCTTAAAAATGATTAAAAAAACTAAAAATAAATTAAAAAACAAAATTTTCCCTCTATTTTTTCCTGCTAATTCCTATCCTCAATTTTATTTTTCCCTTTCATTCCTATGCATGAGAAATGAGATACGGTGTTATTGTCTTCATAGTAGCTAAGTTAGTCTTTTTCTTGAAGCATGTACTACCATTTTTATTTTCTCTAACAAATTAATAATTTGACAAATGCTCATGGTATTACTGTCTCCAGCAATGCATTAATATAAGAAACATGTTCATAATACTCATAAAAAAATTGCTCAAGATAATTACATACTTTTCATAATGTTATAATAATCCCAATACAATTTCACAAAATGATCCTTAAGAAGTTGAAAAACATAACACCCTCAACCTTACTCAGCCACCAGAAATGAAAATAGGTTTAGGTACAAGATTCCAACCAAACGAGGAAGGCCGTGGAAAGTGTAGTTGATCTCCACGTGTCATGTGCGTTTCGAGCAGAATGTTTGTGCTCTTGTTTTGATAACTAAAACCTTATTTTGCTTGTGTTTGGTTAAGTGGAATGCCCATATTTTGTAATCGAGATTCTATGGGTTATATACCTTATGGATGGTAAAATCTCTTATGTTTTGTAACTTCTTAAGGATCATTTTGTGGAATTGTATTGAGATTATTTTGACATTATGAAAAGTATGTAATTATGTTGAGCATTTTTTATGAGTATTATGAACATGTTTCTCATATTAATGCACTGCTTTGGAGACAATAACACTATGAGCATTTGTCAAATTATTAATTTCTTAGAGAAAATAAAAATGGTAGTACATGCTTCAAGAAAAAGACTAACTTAGCTATTTATGAAGACAATAACACCATATGTCATTTCTCATGCATAGGAATGAGAGAGAAAAATAAAATTGAGGATAGGAATTAACGGGAAAAAAATAGAGCGAAAGTTTTGTTTTTTTATTTATATTCAGTTTTTTATCATTTTTAAGAGTGAAATGACCTAACTACCCTCACATGTTGTGTACATAGTCTCACTTAATAGAAATATGGATGGAATACATGAAAAACTAACAGTAGGGGGCAAATCAGCTAAAAAAATTAGTTTGAGTCCTTAATTTTCCAATAGAAAAGTTCAAGGGGAAATCAAAAGCTAGGTGAAAGTTCAGGGGGTAAATCGACAGTGTACTCTATATATATATATATATATATATTGACAAATATAAGAATCATATACAATATATATATATATATATATATATATATATATATATATATATATATTGGAAGGAAAATATAAATATAGGGGGTTCATGCATCATGGGGAATGTTTTCATGGTTTGTGGACGTTTCAAATATCTTACTTTATTTTAAGCATACTTGATTGGCAGAAAACAAATAAAAGCCTTTGAATTTTGTAGAAGAAAACTTCCTTCTACGATCCTTCAGTTCCTTAGCTTCTGGTAAGGGTGTGCTGATAACGTGTTATAAGCCTATTTGATTGAACTGTATTTAAGACTAGAGAGGGAGAGAGGCCAGTGGCAAGAGAGAGAAGAGAGAGATTTAATTGTGAGGTGTGTGTTGTATCACCACATTGCCTTTATTTACAATAGTAGGATAGGTTAAATCCTTACTCTAATAGGATTACAACTCTAATAGGATAATAACTACTAAATGGAATATTCCAAGATATCTCTAAATAAACTAAGATTTACACAATCATATTACTATTCTAAATATAACTACAACAAATCCTTTAATTTTTATATAAGGAATTAGTAATTTAATTTATACCACTTTCATTTTATATAAATCTCGTTATCTTTACGAATCCAATCCTGATAGAAATTTACCCAGTAACGGCTCAGTCTTGTTTAGCATCCCAATTAATTTTCACTAACCCTGCATTAATCAGGATTAACCATCCCCACCTACTCATTCATTCACTTTATTTAATCCCATCATATCTCTGTCACACCTCCTATATATACCCCGACGCCTCCTAAACCCTTTTCCTTTCATCCCTTTGCTTCTTAGTTTGTTTCAACTTTCATGTGCGTTTCTGCAGCAGTGAATAGCTTCCGGTAATTTTAAGGTACCTATCTTTCTCTTTCTTCTCACTGTTCTTTATTTTTAATAACATTCAAGAGAAATTTATCGCTTTAAACGTTATCTTTACTAGTAATATTATCATGGTAATTTAGTTTCTTATTGAAGTATAGGGTTGCAGCTTTAATCTTTGACTTTTATTTTCTGTCTTTGTTCTAATTCGATCTTAGATTCAATATATATTTATACGTTTATTGTATCAACAAATCGAGCTTCTATATTAGAACTTCATTGATTTTGAAGTTTTGAACACAAAAATATACATTTTGAGGCGTTTTATGTTTTTTGTTCCTGGGCTAATATCTATTTATTCCTGGCAGATGCCAAGTGAAAACGAAGATCAGTCCGACAAAGAACCATTCATCGAAATTGACCCAACAGGGCGCTACGGCCGGTACAACGAGCTCCTAGGGTGCGGGGCTGTGAAAAAGGTGTACCGGGCTTTCGATCAAGAGGAGGGCATAGAGGTGGCATGGAACCAAGTGAAGCTACGTAACTTCACGAACGATCCTGCTATGATAGAGAGGCTCTACTCTGAGGTTCGGCTTCTCAGGTCGTTGACGAACAAGAACATCATCACTTTGTACAACGTGTGGCGGGACGTGGAGCATAACACGCTCAATTTCATGACTGAGGTTTGTACAAATGGGAATTTGAGGGAGTACAGGAAGAAGCATAAGCATGTTTCGATGAAGGCCTTGAAGAAGTGGTCAAAACAGATCTTAGAAGGGCTGGAGTATTTGCATACTCATGAGCCTTGTGTTATTCATAGAGATCTCAATTGCAGCAATGTATTTATCAATGGGAATGTTGGCCAGGTATATAATTATTATTCCTTCTCATTTATTAGTAGGGTCTTTCTAATAATTTTTATACGACGATATTGGAGGTAGGGATGTGAGCTAAGCCACATATTGAGCCAGACGTTACTTGAATTACTAGGATTTTGTATTAAGAAATAGTTTTGGGGGGTTTTCCATCTTTTTCGTATGTTTTTTTTTCTCCTTCTATTTTATTTTTCGTATTTTTCTGAGTAAAAAATTGTTTCAACTTGTTTTTTTACAGATTTGTTTCTATGTATTTTCTTAATTTTTTTCTAAAATTTTCTCTATGATTTCAATAGGTGAAGATTGGTGATTTGGGATTGGCTGCTATAGTGGGGAAGAACCATTCAGCACATTCGGTGTTAGGGACTCCAGAATTTATGGCGCCAGAGCTGTATGAAGAAGATTACACTGAGATGGTGGACATCTACTCATTTGGGATGTGCGTGCTTGAGATGGTGACCTTGGAAATACCCTATAGTGAATGTGACAATGTTGCAAAAATATACAAGAAGGTATCCTCAGGAGTAAGACCCCAGGCCTTGAACAAAATCAAAGACCCGGAGGTGAGGGTGTTTGTTGAGAAGTGCCTCGCCCAGCCTAGAGCGAGACCTTCCGCTACTGAACTTCTCAAGGACCCCTTCTTTTATGAAGTTGAAGGTGACGATAATGACAAAGACGTTTGACTATGAGCACTCTTAACTAATATTATATGTTGTTGGGTTGTGTTTAATTGACCGCTAATGTGGATTACTGCTTTGATTTTTATTTTTAGCTTTTGTTCAATTTGTACGATATATGGGGAGCGACCAGAACGTGGGGTTTTTACTTTGAATTTGTTCCTTGTTTTTAGTAGGGAACTAGATAAGGATTGAGTTTGGGGGAGCTTTCAATTGGAGATCATGGTGTTGATTTTGTATATACGATTTTTACATTACAAAGTCATTGTTGTAGGCTCATAAAGATTAGGTCTCTTCTTTTGTTGGTTGCTTGAACCATTCAAAATTGGAATAATGCTATACAACTACGGCGATTTCAGTTTTATAACTTCGTTACAATACTCGTATGTATTTATTATTTGTGGAGGTCCTAATATTGTTTTTCAATATCTTTGTCCTTCACATAAGTTTATGCGCATATCATATACGATGATTTAATATTTATAACCAAAAATAGTTTTTATAGATTTTTTTTTTTATGACAAACAATAAGCGAAGTCCTTCAATGTATGTATTTCTAAAAGATTTGAAAGACGCAACTGATTGAAGAAGCCAAAGCAATCCTTCGCTTGAATTTCTCATAGATTTAAAAGACATTTACTTGTAGTGTTGAATCAAATTAAAACAATCATAAATTAGATTTCAAGTTATATTAATTAATGAAAATATGTGTCTAAGTCAAATGTTTGAATGAGCAATGGCCGGCATAATTGGTTTGATGAGCCAACCTAGATAAGAGATGATTGCCTTCACAAGCAAAAAAATTGGATTTGAAATTTTGAAAAGGGTCTCTTGGCGTGAAGCAAAACACAATGATGAAAAGTGTGAGTGGGCAATTTCCCCTTTTGCCGTTGTGGTCTTTGCTGTCATACACACTTCGTCTTGCTGGGAAAGACATGGCTGTGGTTTGTGGCCTCGCTGGCAGAACCTTCCGTTTATTCCAAGCCAAAACAAAAAGGTCTTGTAGTTTTGCATCAATAGACCCCTGATGGTTTGGGGCAATCCTAAAAAGAGATCAAATTTTCAATTTCTTTAAGATTATTACTTGAGATATTAAACTGCTAAGAATTAAACTATACTAGAAGCATTGTTGGAAATTATATATTATAATATAAAATATTGTAATATATAATTTTAATAATTGAATGAAAAATAGTGTTAACCATATTTCTTAGAAAGGTTATGTTATTTAGGTGCATTTCTTTGTCAAATGATGTAGACTTTACATCTCTTTAACAAGAAGTAATTGGGTGCTATATAAACTCATGAAACCATCATCATTACTATAGAAAATTAGAGTTAATTTTTACTCTTGAGAAATAGGGTTTCCCCACTTTGTTTTTCTCATGTTTCGTGTGTTAAATTCCAAGTCGTGTCTTGAGAGTACGGAATATATAAAGTTCGCCAGAGTTCAAAGATTGAAGTGCTTTGACTTCGGATTATAAATGTCACATCCCGGCCCGGGGCGGATCACTTCCCGGGCCCGCTCCACCACCGTAGCACAATATTGTCCGCTTTGGGCTTACCATTCCCTCACGGTTTTGTTTTTGGGAACTCACGAGCAACTTCCCAGTGGGTCACCCATCATGGGATTGCTCTAGCCCCCTTCTCGCTTAACTTCGGAGTTCCCATGGAATCCGAAGCCAGTGAGCTCCTAAAAAGCCTCGTGCTAGGTAGGGATGAGAATATACATTTAAGGATCACTCCCCTAGGCGATGTGGGATGTCACAATCCACCCCCCCTTAGGGGCCCGACGTCCTCGTCGGCATACACGCGACCAGGGTTAGGCTCTGATACCAAATTGTCACATCCCAGCCCGGGGCGGATCACTTCCCGGGCCCGCTCCACCACCGTAGCACAATATTGTCCGCTTTAGGCTTACCATTCCCTCACGGTTTTGTTTTTGGGAACTCACAAGCAACTTCCCAGTGGGTCACCCATCATGGGATTGCTCTAGCTCTCTTCTCGCTTAACTTCGGAGTTCCCATGGAATCCGAAGCCAATGAGCTCCCAAAAGGCCTCGTGCTAGGTAGGGATGGGAATATACATTTAAGGATCACTCCCCTGGGCGATGTGGGATGTCACAATAAATTGTTGAATCCTAAGAGATGGACACCTACTGAACTACAAGCACAAGAGTAGGGGCAAAATTCTATCTTTAGGACATTGTATTTATGCAAGCCTCAATCTCCAAGTTTGTCAGTTTTTCTAACTTTATCTCTAGTTGTTTATATTAATCTTGTATACTATTGATGTTGTTATTTTATTTATGATTATTATCATTGGAATTCTTGTGTTATTTTCATATTTTCTAATATTGCTCCAACAATTTAAAAATAGAAATATTAAATATGCAATAATTGGAAAATATGATTGTGAGAATTAAATTGAGAAAAACAGAGAAAGCGGCAAGAAAGTTGATTATTTGTTGATGAGTCTAGTGTTAGATCATTTGGCAAAATGCACAAGTACACAACAGATAAAAGAGGTACTGATAAGTTTTTAATGTTCAAATATTATGAATTCACTATGTTTGATAACAAACCCATCCTAGACCAAGTTCATGAATTATTGGTCTTGGTCTCAAAGCTTAGTGAACTTAAAATAGTTATTCCAGATCCTATGATAGTTGGGGCTATTATGGCAAAATTACCCCAAACATAGAAGAACTATAGAAAGAAACTTTTACACATGATGGAAGATATTAGTTTGGAGGATTTGCAAAAGGGTATTCAAATTGAAGAGGAAACTCGAAATCGTGATAAGAATTTTGCAAATCAAGATTCCTCCAAAGTTCACATTGTTGAAGGAAACAAATACAAAAAGAACTTCAAAGTCAAAATTGACAAAGGGAAGTTTAAGAAGACCAATTCCAACAATAATCAAAAGAATGCAAATGGTGTCTGCTATCATTGTGAAAATAAAGGCCATTACATTTGTAATTGCAGACACAGAAAAGAAAGTGAGAAATATGCCAATAAAACCAATAGCGCAAACATGGTGGAAAATTCTGGAATTGATAACATAGTTGCAATGGTATCAATTATGCATATTGGCATAATTACCGAACTAAATATAGCAGCAGCGGCTCAACTCAAGGACTACTATACATGTGTGCAATGATAAGGCACAATTCAAGACATGAAGCATCAATGACCAATCAAGAGGTTTTAATGGGGAATCATAATTCTGCCAAAGTTCTAGGAAAAGGAACCGTTGAACTTCAGTTTACTTCTGGAAAGAAATTGACGTTGCTCAATGTACTACATGTTCCATAAATTAGAAAAAATATTGTGTCTGCAAATTTATTATGTAAGAACAGTATAAAGACTGTTTTAGGGTTGAACAAGTTAATAATGTCGAAAATTGGAATGTTTGTTGGGAAGGGGTATTCTTGTGATGGGATGTTCAAACTAAGTATTAATAATAAAGTGAATTCTTTTGCTTATATTGTTGAATCTTCCTCTCATTTATGGCATTTGCATTTAGCATATGTAAATTTTAGATCTTTAAAATACATGCATACACTTGGTTTAATTACTTGCAATGATGATTACAATGATAAATGTGAAACATGTATTCAAGCGAAAATGACTAAGAAACCTTTTCCAATTGCTAAAAGAAATACAAATTTATTAGACTTAATACATTCTAACATATGAGAATTTAATGGTGTTTTAACAAGACGAGGAAAACGATATTTTATCACGTTTATAGATGATTGTTCTAAGTTCACTTATGTTTATTTATTGTCTAATAAAGATAAAATCTTTGAGTGTTTTAAGCGTTATAAAGCTGAAGTTCAAAACCAAAAAGGAAGGAAAATTAAATGGCTTCGTAGTAATAGAGGTGGTGAATATTTTTCACATGAATTTGATATTTTTTGTGAAGAGCATGGTGTTGTACATCAAAGAACTGCACCCTATACACCACAACAAAATGGTTTGGCAGAAAGAAAAAATAGGACCCTCACTGAAATGATTAATTCTATGATAATTAATGCTAATACTCCAAAATATTTATGGGGTGAAGCATTTTTTACTAAGGTGAGAAAAGAAAATAGTCTGAAATTGTTAATGAACCAAGGAAAAGCCAAAGAGTAAGAAAAGAAAAGACTCTAGGCTCTGATTTTATTTCGTCTTAATCTATTGTATTTGTAGTCAAAGGAAATAGAAAAAAGGTTCTTAAAAAAATACCCATATTGTTGAATGTTGAGGATGATCCTAAAAGTCTAAGTGAAGCAATAACTTCAAGAGATGCAGCCTTTTGGAAAGAGGCTATAGATGATGAATTTGAATCATTAATATCTAATCAAACATGGGTTTTAGTAGACTTGCCTCAAGGATAAAAAACAATAGGTTGTAAGTGGGTATTTAGAAGAAAATACAATACAGACGGATCTATTCAGACATTTAAAGCCAGGTTGGTTGCCAAAAGTTTTAAGCAGAAAAAGGGAATAAACTATTTCGATACATATCCATCAGTAGCTAGGCTCACATCAATTAGAATATTGTTTGCATTGACATCTTTATATAATTTGCAAGTGCATCAAATGGATGTGAAAACAACATTTTTAAATGGTGGTTTGGATGAAGAAGTCTACATGGAACAACCAGAAGGGTTTGTTCTCCCTGGGAATGAAAAGAAGGTTTGTAAATTAGTAAAGTCGTTATATGGATTGAAGCAAGCACCAAAACAATGGCATGAAAAGTTTGGTTTTGTCATTTTATCATATGGATTTAGACATAATAATGCTGATAAATGCATATACTCTAAATTCACAAATGATTATGGTGTTGTTATATGTTTATATGTTGACGACTTGCTAATTTTTGGTACAAACATGAAAGGTGTATATGAAACTAAAGAGTATCTTAATTCAAAATTTAAGATGAAGGATTTGAATGAAGTAGATACTATCTTGGGAATTAAAGTAAAGAAGCATAGTAGGGGTTACGCTTTTTGTTAGTCACATTATATAGAAAAATTGCTTCTTAAGTGTAAGTATCTACAAATAAAAGAAGCAAATAACCCTTATGACCCTAGTGAAACCTTGCTTATAATTCTGGTAGGTCTATTGCACAACTTGAGTATGCTAGTGTAATTAGAAGTTTAATGTATGTCATGCATTGTACCAGGCCAGATATCGCATTTGCAGTAAGCAAACTTTCTAGATACACTAGTCATCCAGGTATTGCTCATTGAAAAGCAATAAATAGAATTTGTGGTTATCTTAAAAGAGCTATAAACCTGAGTTTAACTTACTATAAGTTTCCAACAGTACTTGAAGGATATTCAGATGCAAGTTGGATAACAAGTGCTAATGATAATA